TTTCGGCAGCCGGCCGGCTGCACGGGCCTCCGTGGTCTCGCCGCGGGGCCACGGAAAGATCCGGGCCTGCGCAGCTCTGGGCATCGCTGCGACAAAAAACAGTCCGCGTGTTTCGCGGTCCCCCTTGCGCGCGAGGCGCGGTGACCAGTTTAAAGCGCACGGAACGCTGCCTGACCTCCGACGTCGTGATTCGTTCAATGCGTGGTTCCCAACAGAACAACACTGTCGTCCCAGATCAAACAGCGGCCCCGGGTCCAAGAAGCAGAAATTCAGGAGAGACCCAGATCTCTGGCGTATGTCTGGGAACGCCAGGATTGACCAAATCAACCCGCCAGAGGTATGGCTCCCGGGGTGCGGCAGAACTGGCGACAGCGTGGTGCCTCCGCGCGTGCATCTCAGGCCGCCACCGCCGCCGTCTGCGAGACCCCCGCGGCAAGCACGCCACGGCCTCGATCTCTGCAAAGCGCCTGAACTGCCATGACCCCCACCTCATCTCGTCGAGAACCAAACGAAAATAATCAAGGACGGTGTTTCTCAGTTTTCGGCCTCTGGGGGCCCTTCCAAGGCTCCAGGGCCGTCAAAAAACGGCGCGGGATGAAAAGCCGGTCCCAGGGAAGAAGTCCAGACCTCCAGGGACCACGCTGTGGAAAAAAAACAAACAAACAAACAAACAAAAAACGACGTCGGAATTCTGGCAAGCCAGAGGGGCCCCCTCAGGCACTGCCGAGTGGGGTCACCACTAAAAGGATCACCAACCCCTCCTGATGATCGAGGTTCGAGGATGGAGGATCGAGTAAGTCTTTGGTCGATATGTGGCGTTGGGGAGGTTCGGGGCTGTCATGAGGGATCTTCCCCCTCGTGGAGGTGGGGATCCCCCTAATCAGTGTTGGTCCCCCTTGGCGGCGCCTGGCCCTCTAAAAGGAGCGGATCACGTAGCCCGGGGCCTCTTTCCTGGGGTCGGTGTTCCATCCCGCCCCGTGCCCATTGACGGTCACGGGGCGCGGGACGCGGGCACGGAACCGAGTGGCCGAGAATGCCGACAAACCGCGGGATCGCTTCTCGCAACGCCTTCCTCTCCGTCGTGATAGGCCACGTGTCCCCTCAAAAGCCACGAAGCCCACAAAAGCCGACAACGCTCTCGTAGTCCTCTCTCTCAGTACCGCCACGAGGAGGATGAGGAGAAGGAGGAGGAGGAGGAGGAGGAGGAGGAGGAGGAGGGGGAGGAGGAGGAGGAGGAGGAGGAGGAGGAGGAGGAGGAGGTGGACGGGGGGGGGCAATACGACCACGACGACCCGCGACCTCTCCAGAACGACGACGACGACAATGACGACAACGCTGCCGCTGCCGACGACGCCGCTGGAAGAAAGGAAAAGACGGGGACGAGGAGAAGAACAAAGACAAGGAGGAAAACTAGGCGGAGGAGGACGACGCCGACAACGACAACAAGGACGGCGATGGCGACGACGACGACGATGATGATCGACCGTACCTGCGAGAGAACCGTCCACCAGCACGCTTACTGGTCAGTGGCGTGCACAACTGCTGCTACCGCGGCCTGTTGCTGCAGGGGGTCGACGGGTCTTCCGTGAACCGCCGACGCCCTGAGCTGATGGCAGGTTGGAAACAGAGCGCGCCTAGGGGCATCGCGTCTCGGCGATAAAGCGCAGTCTGCGCAGTTGCATCCGCTATTGGATCCGAGGCCGAGGATTAAAAGAGGTGGGGGGAAGGCAAGGAGAGGAGCTCAACGAGGACAGGGCAAGAAAAATAGTGAGATGCGTAATCCGTCTCATCGCGGCATCCGAAGAGGCACGCGGAAACACCGCAGACATGCATGCGGTGCGAGGTCGTCCACCCTCCTGCGAGAGCCTTCAGCACGCCCCATTGCCAGGCTGGCTTGAGCGTGCGCAGCACTGCTAGACATTCCCTCCGCCGCTCTCCCACAGTCCCCCTAATCGCCGCGGCAAGGCCGCATGCATGCAGACGCTTGGGGATCGTGATCTCGAACAAGGGATGAAAGAGGGAGGCTCGAAGCGAGGAGGAGAAGATGCGCTGGACCTTCCCCTTGCGGGCTTCTCCCGCAACCGCGGCCTGCTCGTCGCGCGCCGCCGCCAATGCATGGCCCCAGCTCGCAACAGGGATGTCCTTGAAGTGGGGCGACCCGGAAAGAATGGCAAAGCACTGCAGAGAGCCCTGCTTTATTTTTCAGCACGGCGTATTCCACTGGCCCCACAACCAGCGAACGAGCGGATTGGATTGGATGGCCGTCGCCGACAACTTTTGCAGCTGCGGTTGCCAGCGTCGAAAAGAGTGGAAGCCGCACCTCCAAAGGCTAGCGGCATTCATGGCGAGCGCAGAACCAGGGGCCACCAAGCCATGCTTCTTGAAAGCAAACAAGTCAGCCTCCCGGAAAATATTACGCGGAAGCCGAAGCACCCTGTGGAAAGCATCTTTTCCATTGTGCAAGACAGCGCGCGGCAACGGAAACAACTGCGACAAGTTGCGTAAAGTGGAAAGAGCCATGCTGTTGTGCAAAAGCAAACTGGCGCTGGCAGGGCAGGCAGTGCGCGGGATATCGCGCGCGCGGGCCCATCGTTTGCAAACGGTTTCGGCCCGGACTCCCAGCTCAGCGGCCTCGGGCCCGAACTGAATACCAAGGTATTTGGCCTGGCCCTTAATCTTGATATCGGGCCATGCAGGAATGCTGCTTTGCAATAATGATTGAATGCGTTGATTGACGGCGGCAGTGGGACTCGACCAGAGCGGCACAATGACTGTCTTTCTCAGCTGCAATATGATGATGAGGAGGAGGAGGAAGAGGAGGAGGAGGAGGAGGAGGAGGGAGGAGGAGGACGAGGAGGAGGAGGAAGAGGAGAACGACGAGGAGGACGACGACCAAAAGGGCGAGGAAATTCGCCAGCCCAAAGGGCCACAGGCGTGCTAAGATCTCCGGTAAATGCTGCACAGTACTTCTACTCAGCGCGCGCGGGGCGGCCCCTGGGGGTCCCCGGAAGAAGAATGCCTTGGGCAGGTCCTGGGCGCTGCGGATCAGAGATGTTTTTCCTCTTGGGCGCCGCCCTCGAGGCCGTCCGGATAACCCTAAGAAAGGCCAAGAGGCCGCCAAGAGCCCCTCAAGATGATACAAGAGAGCTCCGATATGTTTTGTGGCTCGGCTCCAGCGGACAGCCACGCCCCGAACTCGCCGCTGGCCTCTGCCTTCGGCTCGTTCTCGACGGCGGCGTCTCGCCGCTCTGCACGGGCTCCGCTGGGCTTTTCCTGCTTCGCAGGTAAGTCCATCTCCGCGTCGATCCGCACTCCACCTGGGCTCGCCGCCAGCTCGACGCCCGACTCCTCCGCGCTGTCTTCCACTGCTTAGCAGGTAAGTCCATCTCCGTGCCGATCCGCACTCCAACTCTTGGGCTCACTCCTGTCCCGACGCCCGTCTCCTCGGCCCGAAATGGCACGCTGCCGTCGGCCTCGCTCCCGTCCTCCACAAGTTCCAGCTCCACAGCAAAACTGGCGACGTAACCTCCCGAATTAGCCGCTGGGCTACAGACCGCGCCACCCGAGACCTCTGGCGGTTTGGCCCCGACCCCCAGCGACGGGGCGGGAGGTCCACCTGCGATCTGACTCGAGGTTCCGCTGCCAGCAAAAAGCACGACGTTACCATCCAAGTTAGCCGCTGGGGAAACTGCCAGTGGCAGGGCGGATGGCCCCCCTGCGTTCTGACTGGAGGCTCCTCTGTCAGCAAAACGTACGTCGCAACCCTCCAAGTTAGCCACTAAGCGTACTCTCAGCGGCGGGGCAGAAGGTCGCCCTGCGTTCTGACGCCCGCCCTGTTCCTCCTCGTTATTGATGCTGTTCGTCCACGCCGCGTTGTACGCCTGCGCCAGCGGTGAGCTCCCTGGCTGCAGCCCCCTTTTTTACACGATCCTGGCTAGGTTCATGGCGCCCTGCTTGGTAGCCCTGCCGCTGCAGGGCTTGCCCAGATCCTTCATGCGCTCCCTGGCCGAGCGCAAAGCCTGCCGCCCACAACACCCACAAGGATGACGTGCCGCACGAGGACCACCGCCAGGTACGAGGAGGCCCTGCATCTCGACATTCTCGCCGCAGTCGAAGTCCCCAGAGATGATGACGAAGTGCCTGCGCGGGTCCGCCTCCGTGCGCAAGGGATCCTGTTCGATGGCCTTGGCCACGCGATCGGATTGCGCGCGGGAGAGGCCGCGGTCGTGCACGTGCCAGTACGTCATAGAGTCACCGGCTCAAGCCCCAGCTTCCTCAGCGGCACTCACTCGTAGCACTTGTTTCGTCGGCGGCGAGGCAGAGTTGGCTGCACCAGCGAATGAGCTAGACGGGGGCACCGAAAAGCGAATTGGCCAGCGTGCATTCGTGGAACTCACTCGTAGCACACGCGCTCGCACAGAAAAATCACGACGACGAACATCGGCTCGGTAACACCGCGGCCGCGCCGCTGGGCCACACGGGAGAAAAACACGAGGCTTGAACGGGAGCGCCGTGGCCACACCGTCCAGCGGCTCGTGGACACCTCGGTGGAAGCTCGGGACGACTTGAAAGTCCAAGCCCGCTCGCTCCATCGGGGCACGCAAGCACAGGGTGGACCCGTGGACCTCCTGCATGCCGATCACCGCCCCTGCGCGGAGCATGGACTGAGTGTAGTATTGCACCTTGCGCTTGGCAGCGTGCCCCTTGCAGTGGCAGCGTGCCTTCGCACTCCACGTGGCGGAGCAGAGCTCCGCCTCCCCCTGCGGCTTGCCGAACAGCCTGGCAAACGTGTTAAAAGGCTTCTATTCTTGCAGCAGCACCAGAACTGCTGCCACCGTCGGCTCGACGCCCGCGCGGCGGAGGCCGAGCTCCTGCAATGCCGCGGCCAGCCAGTGGATCTGCGGCGAGGCTGTCGGACTGGCGATAGTAGAGACCTTCACGAACGTTCTCCAGGGCACGGAAAGGGAGTGAGCCATTCTGTCCACGAAGATGCGCTTGAATGGCCCCGCCGTCGTCCAGGGCCATCGCCAAGCGCTCGAGGAGCAGTTCGTGGGCAACCTGCTCGCGGCTGTGGTCGGCCGAGACGTTGATCGCAGCCAAAAGCCCAGCTGGAGCGTCGCCGCTGAATCCGCGCCGACGCGCACGCAACAGGCGCACCCTTGAAGCCCAGGACTGAGCGCTTGCCGATGGGGCTCCGACTCGACCAGGCAGGAGTCCTCGGCCATGCTCGCATCCGCCAGTACGGGAGCCAGCGCCGACAGAAGGTGGACTTGGGGAGGTCCTCCTTGCAGCGCAGGACCACCGCCGCTGTGTCTGGCTCCCTGTCCCAATCAGGTCCAGCAGGGGCAGGCTGCGGTTCGGTCCTCGCCACGGAGTGTCATCTTCTCCCTGAGCTGAGCCAGGTCAGCTCGCAGCTGCTGCTCCATGGCCGACATGCGCTGGTCCACGCACTCCGCGCGCTGCTCGACGGCGCCGGCGCGGGCTTCCATGGCGTTCGTGATCCGGGCCAGGCCGGCAGACAGGGTGGCATCCATGGTGGCGCTGATGGCAGATTGGATCGGCCGCAAGACGACGATCTGTTCGGGCGGGGCCCCACCAGGCAATTGGACAGGGGTGGGAGCTGCGCCAGGCCGAACAGCGCCAGGAGGAGAAGCCGCATGGGCAGATGGGCGGTCACGCGCTGGCGACGTCGGGGGATGAGGAGGAGGAGGAGGAGGAGGAGGAGGAGGAGGAGGAGGAGGCAACTTGTGGAGGAGGGAGGGAGGCAGGGGAGGGGGGACGAATCGAGGGGGAGGGACGGAGGGAGGGAAGTACAAGTCATTGTGACTTCTCGCTGTCACTCCCCTCGCCTCTCCCCTCTGCTTCCTCCAGCGACGCCTTCCGGGCGTCCGAGGCCCCCGTGCCCTTCTCGGGCAGCCTGCCGACGGCCTCCGTGACACCGCCGATGGGGCTCCGGGCGCTCGAGGCTCCCGCTGCGCCAGTCTCGAACAGCCTGCCGGCGGCCCCGGCGACGCCGCTGACGAGGTCCGCTCGGATCAGGAGCCAGCCGACCACGAAGGCCGTCACCACGAGAGCGGTCTCCTCCAGGGGGAGGAACAGGCCAGACATCGCACCAGCCCTTTGGGCGCAGGTGGCTGAGGGAGTAATGCGTCCAGCCTCCTCTTTCGCTTGGGGGCAGAATGTGCCACTGCTCCTCTGTTGCATTTGGAACTGGGGAACATCCCTCGGGACGAACGTTGTCGACATCTGGGACGCACGTTGTCGACACTTGTTCTCCTGCGTGGTTGCAACATGGGCCATGGTCTGCCTCCTCCTCCTCCTCCTCCTCCTCCTCCTCCTCCTCCTCCTCCTCCTCCTCCTCCCTCCTCCTCCTCCTCCTCCTCCTCCTCCTCCTCCTCCTCCTCCTCCTCCTCCTCCTCCTCCTCCTCCTCCTCCTCCTCCTCCTCCTCCTCCTCCATGGGACACGAGAGTGCTCTCGCACTTCTGCTGGGGCAGCCGGCCCTCGCAGCCCCGATGCTCGCAGTTGGACGTGGCGCGCCCCGCGGATGCGACAGGACGGGGAGTCGATCTATCTCGGGGCTGCGGCAGCCCCCTCCCCTGCCAGACCGGCGACAGAGCCAGGCCACTGCCAATTGCACTTTGCGGCAACGCCTGGACCGTGCGCGGGCGCGCCGTGAGCACCGTGGCCCTTGCCAGGGGACGGCGGAGGGGAGCCCTCCTGTTGTCCGCTCTCTGCGCAGGCCTGCCACCCCTGCCAAAAAGCACTCTTTTCTGTCGGCAGCGGGGCGACGATCCGCTCCAGCGTGGCAGCGATGCAGGGGCACGACAGAGCGAGGTGGCTGGCGTGCAGGAGGAGGGAAAAGAAAGGAACGGGCGGCCGCGGGGAAGGAGGGAGGGGCGAGCACTCCGAGGCGGAGGGCTTCCGCCTGTCAAGACACGCTGCAGCAGGAACTTGCGACTGAATCTGGACCGTGCGCGGGCGCCCCCGTGGGCACTTTGCAGTGGTTTTTGGTAGGGGCCGAGGCGGTGCCCTCAAAGGGTCCGCTCTGCGCAGACCCACCGTCCTCGTGAACACGCAATGCCCCAAACGCACCGTGCGGCAAAAGCTGGTTCACGCGCTGGCACCCCGCAACAATGCTGCCGTGGCTTTGGGCAGAGGGGTGCGGCAGGGCGGTGCCCTCGTGCAGGCTCGAGATCACTGACAAAAACTATGCAAAGTGCACTTTGCTGCAACATCTGGATCATGCGCGGGCGCCCCGCGATCACTTTGCATGGCTCTTGACAGGGGCAGCGGGGGTGCCCTCAGATTGTCTGCTCTGTGTGTTCCGACAGGACTCGTGAACTCAGTAGGATCGGAAGCGGGGCCCCAGGCAAGGATGCTGTATATGTCTGGGGACGGCGGGTGAGGGTGAGCGACGCGTGTTTTCGGGAGTAGCTTGACCACCCCCCCTATCCCCTCTCCCTGGGTCTGGAGGGGGCGCGGCTGGTGCCAGTGTCACTCCCTCGTTCTCGCCCCATTCCGGGGTTCTGCGGGAAGCCCTCGTCGCCACGGGCGGATTTGCCTCGGAACCCTGGCCAGACCGCACCCCGGGGAGAGGTCCGGGGGAGTCATCACGGAGGCGGCTGGGTGGTCCGAGGGGGGAGGGAGAGAAGGCGGGCTCGAGGAGGCACCGCGTCAAGCTTGCCCTCCTGGAGGCCCGCTGCTCTCCGGGGCCCTCGGGAACCGGTCCCGCGCGAGAGGTCGGTCAGGGCGGGCGTCCGGGACACAGCACTTTCGCGCACTCGCGCCGGGCGGTGCGCGGCCAGCTGCGCGCACTCGCGCGCTCTCGCGTCGCCCCTCCTGGCTAAGAGCACCTCTCCAGTCCAGACCGCGACGCGCGAAGCGCGACTGTGTTCGCGCCCCCGCGGGTGGACCAGGACCCTGGGAGGGGTCTGGAGACCGATGCTGAGCGGATCGCGGTCGGGAAAGGGGCGTCCTGGTCATTGGACCAAGCGGACAGTGCCAGATCGGCGCACTCCCGCAGCACATCCATGGTGAAGCGGGGTCGCGCGCCTGGGATGGCGGGCTGCAACTCGTCCCGAGCCGCAAAAGTCTACAGAATGGCATGAAGATGCTGACTCTCGACAAATGTGATGATGATGGTGGTGATGCTGATGATGATAATGATGATGATTGGTGACGATGCTGATGATGATGATGATGATGCTGATGCTGATGCTGATGCTGATGATGATGATGACGATGATGATGATGATGATAATGACGACGGCGGGGGCGACGATAACGACGACGAGGAAGATGAGGAGGAAGATGGTGGTGATGATGCTGATGGTGATGATGCTGATGAAGATGCTGGTGATGATGTTTGTGATAATAATGATGTTGGTGGTGGTGATGTTGATGTTGATGCTGATGCTGATGCTGCTGGTGATGATGATGATGATGATGATGATGATGATGATGATGATGATGATGACGCTGACTGGTAAGATGTTCATGGTGGTGCTGATAGTGATGGTGCTGACGGCCAGAGCTGAGTTGGCAACGAATCCGCCCAGGGCGAGGTGGAGACCCCACTCTGGACAAACAATAAAACCCCCATGCCAAGCATACCACTACTTTTCCATAACAGTAGCGATTCATTCCGAAATTCTGGAATGGAACCGCAGAGATACTGACAACATGAGCGAGCGAGACGCGAAGCCGTGTAAATAACATTCAAAGTCGGCTATTCAAATTCACATGTAAAGCAGAACGCAAAACAATGTAAACAATGTGAGCTGCTTGTTGTTTTGTTTCTCTCTCTCTCTCTCTCTCTCTGTGCCCATTCCAACTTAAATCGAATAAGACATGACAGCCGTTACCGAAGTCTGCTGCTCGTGCGTGCAGCCCTTGCAAACAAAACACCGAAAACAACCAGTCTGATCTACGCAAACAATGCAACAAATCATCGAATGCATAATTCGATAATAATACATTGTTTAGAATTGATCAGTTCATGTAGTCGGTAAATCTTGATAAGTGACCAACGAATGATTACCTAAGAAGTAAGCCATTTCTTGTTACCCAGCTGATGATGGCTCGACAAAGTATGAAGACATTGGTTAAGCAATACTTGACTGAGCAGTAGAACCGAGTATGAATGTAGTAAATAATCTACGTCCTGCTCCTCATCCTGCTCCTTCCCCTGCTCCTCCTCCTGCGTTGTCGACCTGTTCCTGGCTCCTGCTCGTCGTCCTGCTCCTCGTCCTGCTCCTGCTCCTGCTCCTCTATCCTGCTCCTCCCTCCTGCTTCTCTCCCTGTTACTTCTCCCTGTGTTTTCAACTGCGGCAAACTCACTCACATGGAAAGCAGGGGGCGAAAAGGTGGAAATGCCAGATGTTGCTTACGTATCCTTCTATTCTAATTCTAACAGTAAAGTAGAGCCAATACTGTCTTTTAGAAAATCATATGGGCAAACTCAGAAACCTGTTGCCCCCGAATACGCATGTGGCACATCAAGCAAGAACAACACAGATCAATGCACCAATGCGTCTTCCAGGAAAGACTGAACAACAATGTCAGTATCAACGCGCAAGGCGTGAAGAATAACATGTCCGCTCGATCAGCGGCTAGCCGCGGCAAATGAAGGGAAACGTTCACGATCATCTGAATGCACACGAAAGAACACCAAATGAAGCATGGAAACAGAAAACTTCGGGCCTGCTGGATACGGCTCTGCATGACTATCACTGCGGATTCGGTTTGTCTCGGTTTGGCTTCGACGTTGAATGGTTCTGGTTTAAACATGTCCCGGTTCAGTTTGAGATATCACCCTTGGAAGGGTAATGCCTCGCCCTCCTCGAGTCTATAACTCTGTCTCTCTCCCTTTCTCCCTTTTACCTTTGAATAAGAAGCATAATTGTGTCCGAAACGTTAAACATAATTACTGTTGTTGCTAATCGGGACAAGCCTTTCCTGGGCAGCTCACTGTATTAATGTTGAGGTGAACTCAAATCATGGTTGTTTGAATTCCTGAGTTTGTTGGATTGCCGTCGTGTCTCATGCTCGCGCGAAAAAACGTTGGGAAGCATTGATTTGAGCTACCCGTGTTGCCCTCCAGAGGCCGTTGCAAGCTCCGAAATTACCTGCAACCGCTCCAAGCAACAAATATGCGTCGGTTAAGGGCCGAATCGATGTCAGCCTGCCTTCGCCCCCGCTCCCTTCAATTGTTGTTTCCTGAAGCCACAGGTAAGCAATTAGTCACCTAGTACATCTATCGTTGTAGCTATCTACATTCCCAGCGACGCTGCACAAATACTCGGATAATCAAGCACATGCAGCGATGTGATTCGCTGTCTCTCCTCAAGACCCCGTTGTTCAGTGCCCGCTGGGCTCGGGCTTATGCAACGCAATCGACACGAATCCCGAAACTATGTCGGACATATATGTGACTCTGAAAACGATGAGGTACCTCGCCCCCACTGGCCGACCTTCCCCCATCCCCCCATGGGTAAGGATGGGTGCCGTCTCCGCAGCACCCGGCCCCACCCGAGAGGGGCGCGCCAGGAGAACTGACTTACAGAGAAACCTTCCACAAGAAACCCAACCCTGAGGCCCCAGGACGTCCAGTGAGTTTTGGCTTGGCAGCGCCACGCCCTCCGTCGCAAAACAATCGAAACCCAAGAACCCCAGGGCACCCTGGAGGCCAGCGGCGTGCTTCTTGGCATGGGCCTCCGCTGTGTCCCCTGTCCAGGTCGGGCCCGAGGGAGGGGGCCGAGGCAGACGGGCCACGACGGAGGCGGGCCCTGGACCCCTTGGGGCCCTCCCCCCGAGCCGCCTCCTCCTCCCAGGCCGCTCTCGGCCAGCTGCCGGGGCCCTGCGAGTGCCTCGGGAGCCCGAGCACGGCGACGGAGCCCAGGACCCGTTGCCCTTCAGGGCCCGCCGCCACGCGGCCCTCGGGGAGGCGCGGAGAGCGCCGCCGCCGCCCTCGGGGAGGCGCGGCCGCCGCCGCCGCGGCCGCCGCCCCCCAGGGGCCCAGCTCGAGGACCCGTTCCTCGCCCCCCCCCCCCCCCCTCCCTCGCCTCCCCCCGCCCGCATCCCCTCTCCTTCCTTGATCTTCACCTGCTCCTCCTCCTCCCTCCTCCTCCCTGCTCCTCCTCCTCCTCCTCCTCCTCCTCTCCTCCTCCCCTCCTCTCTCCTCCTCCTCCTCCTCCTCCTCCTCCTCCTCCTCCTCCTCCTCCTCCTCCTCCTGCTCCTCCCCCTCCTCCTCCTCCTGCTCCTGCTCCTGCTCCTCCTCCTCGCCTCCCTCCGGGACCCGCTCCATGGCGGGTGCCCCGCTCGGCCCGAGGCCCCGCTCCCGGCGGCAGCCTTCGGGGCCTCGGACGCCCGCCTCCATGGCTGGGCCGCGGGCGTCGAGGGCCGAGGCCCGCGGGTGGGAGGTCGCGGCTCGAGGCCCGTCGTCGTGCCGACGTCGAGGAGGTCGAGGATCGGTCGAGGATCGGTCGAGGATCGGTCGAGGATCGGTCGAGAGGTTCCAGGATCGTCGTCGTCGTCGGGGTGCGAGGTTGCAGAATCGAGGCAAGAGGGTCGGCATTGGAGGGGGGTCGGGACTCCGTGTCTCCCTCCACCTCCCGCACTGTGATGGTTGAGGCGTGGTTGGTTGTCGTGACTCGCCACTGTTCCTTGCCGCCCGTCACTGCCCGAGGTCCGCGCGAATTTCTTGGACCCGCGCTGGACCCCCGCCCCTGGAGGCGCGGGCCGCACTAGGAGATGCGCCGGGGGCGCCGCCAGGGGGGTCCCAGCACCGACCCAAGAAATCTTCGGGGACCGCCAGAAGCTCGCCCATCGGTCGGAAGAAGTGGGTCGAACCATGAAGTAGGAAGACATTGGAGGTAGATTGCGTTTCCGCCCGCCTCCTGTGGAGGAGGGAAGAGGGAAAACCACTCGACTCTTGAAGTAGGAAGGCGGCTAAAGTAGATCGAGCACTGGGAATTCCAAAATACCCACTTTCAATGACCGATGGGTGTAGTCGTGCGGTCTGCTGATCAACGAACAATGTTTCTCCACTTTCGTCACGCCGCCTCTTCCTCGAATCCGCTCGTCCGTTTTGCGCCCATGCCGTTTTCGCGATGTTCGTCTTCATTCCGCGTTGCCCCCCAGACCTCTCGGGTGAAAAGCGCGGCGGCAGACCGCGGCGCGCGGTGGGTGAGCGGCGGGCGCGATGTCCGGGAGGATCTGCTCCATGAAGCGCCTCCCATCGGCCAGGGACCGAGGCCAAACACTGGCATCTCTTCCAGCTCCTCCTCCATCTTCTACATCGCCTCCTCCTGTTCCTCCTCCCCTTCCCATCGCCATCATCACCATCATCTTAAAATGTGTCAACACCATCGCAGACGTCATCATAACCAGCAATATCACCGCTGCCGTCCCAATCCTCATCCGCATCATCCGAATCCCCATCCGCATCATCATCATCAACAACAACATCATCACCATCATCAGCATCACCATCATCATCATCATCGTCAAAATCGTCATCAACACCATCGTCGTCGCCATCGCCATCGCCATCGCCATGATCACCAACACCACCCTCATCATCGTCATTGTACTCGCCGGCACTCTCCTACTCCACCCAATCATCCCCTCGCTCACCCGCATCCTGCGCCTCCTCATCATCCTCTTCGCCCCCTTCATCATCATCAGCATCATCATCAGCAGCACCAGCAGCATCATCGTCATCATCACCATCACCATGACCATCATCATCATCATCATCATCATCATCATCATCATCAGCATCAGCATCAGCATCAGCATCATCATCATCATCATCATCATCATCATCATCATCATCAACATCATCATCATCATCACCATCATCATCATCATCATCATCATCATCATCAACATCGTCGTCATGGTCCTGCCCCCTCCTTTTCTATATCATGGGTGAGCGCTGAATGCAATTCGGCAGCACAATAGCGGCAGTGTATATATTGGCATGGTGACTGTATTGGTGAGGTCAAGACTAGCGCACAGAGTGGCTAGTGCGTCGAGAAGACAACGCAATATTTTGAACAGCTGAATTGGGCAATACACACAGCTTAAATGACGGGGCAGCGTAAAAGGTGGCTGACAAGATGGCGGGATCCCAACACGATTTTCACGCGTTACAGCTGCCCTACCATAAGCATAGACTTGAAACGGCCTAGGCAAATCATGCGACAGACGTCGGAGAGAAAGGACGTAGGAACATGAACACGGATTAGTGGTAAGCAGAGCCTCCTGGGCACCACGGATGTTGACCTCGGCCGCGTCCCTTTACCCTGGGCCTTGCCCGTCCCGATGCCCGTCCTGGCGTACATGCGCGCCCGCGCGTCGCACTCTTCGTTGCAGTTGTCATGTTGGCCGTTATCCTCCTGCTGGCTGTCTGCCCAAGCTCCCATGTACCCCTAAATGTTAATGTTAACACTCCTCTTGGCTGACGGGTCGTTAATCCCGTTGAACCTGCCAACGGCCATCCAGTAGGTGAAACCTGGATGCTGAACATTTGGCGCTGCCCACCCCAGGTTGCGACACTCCCGTCGACTGTCATAAGCCATGGCCGAGGGGGGTGGGTGTCGGCCCAAGACTGGCGAATAGCCCATAAGTGATAGTCACCCGAAGAGACCTGGATCTTTTCGTCCAGCCGGTTACTGCGGGTGAGGGGACAGTAGCGAAGCCAATCATCAACCCGTTGTGTGATGCATCTGCCTGAACGACCCGCGCCTGCACGTCGTTACGAACAGCCACGTACCAATGACAAAGAGCTCATCCGCCAAATCTTCGGTTACGAACCGCAATTAAACCACACCTGTTTGAATCGCCCTGTGATCGATACATATGTGTGTATATATTTATGTATATACACATATATATATATATATATATATGTGCTCAGCCCTCCCCCAGCACCCCGTCCTCCAGCGAGCGATCACTCAGATGACCCTCCTTTTCCTCCTCCCCCTCCTCCTCCTCCTCCTCCTCCTCCTCCTCCTCCTCCTCCTCCTCCTCCTGCCCCCCCACCCTGCTTCATCACCTCTTCCTCGTTGTCCTCCTCCTCATCATCATCCTCATACCCCTCACCCTGCTTTGTTTCTTCCTCCTCGTCGTCGTCCTCCTCCTCCGCCTCATCCTCCTACCCCTCACTCAGCTTTCGTTCCTCTTCCTCTTCTTCGTCCTATTCCTCCTCCTTCTCCACCTTGTCCTCCTACCTCTCACCCTGCATTCACTCATCTTCCTCATCCTCATCCTCCTCCTCCTCACCCTGATCGTTTTTTCAGCGTGGGTTGTTGACCATGCTCCTTTCGCAAGCCTTCTTGGCGAAGGATGCAAAAACTATCCTGGCGAAGGACCCAACCATAAGCAAGTGTTCGTAACGCGCTGTGGGTGCAGCTTTCGGTGGGGCTCCCTATGGGGCCACGAAGCGCTGCCTTGGGTAGGGGAAACGCATGCGAGAGCAGCCACTGGGGCGTTCGGTGGAGCTCCCTATGGGGCCACGAAACGCTGCCCTGGGCGGGGGAACCGCATGCGAGAGCAGCCACTGGGGCCTTCGGTGGAGCTCCCTAGGGGGCCACGAAACGCTGCCCTGGGTGGGGGAACCGCACGCGAGAGCAGCCACTAGGGCCTTCGGTGGAGCTCGCTATGGGGCCACGAAGCGCTGGCCTGGGCGGGGGAAACGCATGCGAGAGCAACCACTGGGGTCTTCGGTGGAGCTCCGTATGGGGCTACGAAACGCTGCCCAGGGCGGGGGGAACGCATGCGATAGCAACCACTGGGGCCTTCGGTGAAGCCTCCTCTGGGGCTACGAAACGCTGCTCAGGGTGGGGAAACGCATGCGAGATCAACCACTGGGGCCTTCGGTGGAGCTCCCTAGGGGGCCGCGAAACGCTGCCCAGGGTGGGGGACACGCATGCGAGAGCAACCACTGGGGCCTTCGGTGGAGCTTCTTATGGGGCCACGAAGCGCTGCCCAGGGTGGGGGAAACGAATGCGAAAGCAACCACTGGGGCCTTCGGTGGAGCTCCCTATGGGGCTACGGAACGCTGCCCAGGGTGGGGGAAACGCATGCGAGAGCAACCACTGGGGCCTTCGGTGGAGCTCCCTATGGGGCCACGAAACGCTGCCCAGGGCGGGGGAAACGCATGCGAGAGCAACCACTGGGGCCTTCGGTGGAGCTCCCTATGGGGCCACGAAACGCTGCCCAGGGTGGGTGAACCGCATTCGAGAGCAGCCACTGGGGCCTTCGGTGGAGCTCCGTATGGGGCTACGAAACACTGCCCAGGGTGGGAAAACGCATGCGAGAGCAACCACTGGGGCCTTCGGTGGAGCTCCCTATGGGGCTACGAAACGCTGCCCAGGGTTGGGGAAACCGCATGCGAGAGCACCACTGGGGCCTTCGGTGGAGCTCCCTAGGGGGCAGCGAAACGCTGCCCAGGGTGGGGGAAACGCATGCGAGATCAACCACTGGGGCCTTCGGTCGAGCTCCGTATGGGGCTACGGAACGCTGCCCAGGGTAGGGGAAACGCATGCGAGAGCAGCCACTGGGGCCTTCGGTGGAGCCCCCTATGGGGCTACGAAACGCTACCCAGGGTGGGGGAAACGCATGCGAGAGCAACCACTGGGGCCTTCGGTGGAGCTCCCTATGGGGCTACGAAGCGCTGCCCAGGGTGGGGGAAACGCATGCGAGAGCAACCACTGGGGCCTTCGGTAGAGCTCCCTATGGGGCCACGAAACGCTGCCCAGGGTGGGGGAAACGCATGCGAGAGCAACCACTGGGGCCTTCGGGGGAGCTCCCTAGGGGGCCACGAAACGCTACCCAGGGTGGGGGAAACGCATGCGAGAGCAACCACTGGGGCCTTCGGTGGAGCCCCCCTATGGGGCTACGAAACGCTGCCCAGGGTGGGGGAAACGCATGCGAGAGCAACCACTGGGGCCTTCGGTGGAGCTCCCTATGGGGCTACGAAACGTGTGAGAGGCGTGCCAAGAGCAGAGGCAAGGAGGGGGAGGAGGAAGGAGGGGGAGGAGGAAGGAAGGAAGGAAGGAGGTGGGACGCGGGGCGCTGTCTCTTCAAAACGAAGACCCAACACCACAGGATGGTTGGGAAAAAACATGCGGAGGAGGAGAAACAAGGAGACCACCCAGCACCCCACCCCGACAGCGAGTGATCAATCCGATGAGATTCGTGTTTGTTCTGCTCATCATCCTCCTCCTAGTCGTCTTCCTCCTCCTCGTTTTCTTTATCCTCCTCTTCTCATCCTCGTCCTGTTCGTTTTCCTCCTCCTCATCCTCATCCTCCTCTTTCTCATCCTCCTCCTCATCCTCCTCCCTCCTTCTTTTATTCATCCGCTTCATCATCCTCATCCTCTTCTTCCTACTCCGTCTCAGCATCCTCGCCGGCTGACCAGGAGGGCATCCGCCTCACTACGATTGCAGGCACATGAATTGCAACCCAACCGATTCTAGTTACACCTGTTTCAATACAGCCGGTTGCAGCCTAATCGATTGCAACCCGATGGATCGCAATTCAATCGATTGAAAGTCAATCGATTGTACTCCAATGCTCCCCCTCCGCGGCGAGCGATCACTCCAGTGATCCTCCTCTTGCTCGTCCTGCTTCTCTTCTTCCTCCTCTTCCTCCTCATATCCTTCTCCGCTTCTCCGCTTCATCTTCCTCTTCTTCCCTCCTCCGTTCTGTCCTGCCTCTTCCTCCTCGCCCTCGCCTTCTTCCTCCTCCTCGCTTTCCTTGTCCGCCTCCGCATCTTCATCCGTATCGCCTTCTTCCGTCTCGGCCAAACTGGTTGCAACCATCCGTAGTTTGCTCGGAATCAGCGCACGCAGCGGGCACGACCCGCGCGCCGTCGTCGCTCATGGGATGTCGTTTGGTCACCCGTCCCAGGCCAGAAGGAGGGAGGAGGGAGCAGAGGCCTCTGGAGTTATCAGGGGGGTGCTAGGGGCGCGGACGGAGGAAGAAACAACGTCGTAAACGCAACGTTTCGGAGGTCCACGCGGACCTCTTGGATCGGCGCTGGCCCCCCTGGCAGCGCCTCTGGCGCCGACGCTGGCGCGCTCCACGCGCCAGCAGCCCCGATCGAAGAAATTGGCGCGGACCTCCGAAGAATTTGCGGCTATGGCGTTTTTCGTCGACAGGCGGAGGGGAGGAGAGGCAGGGCGCGGCACACGGGAAGAGGGAGCCCCCAGCCCCGCCCGATCACGGGGATGCTGTCCTGCGTGTCGTTCACCATCTGTCGGCGCGGCCGCGCGGGCTCTGCGCAGCAGCGCTCGAGTGCGCGCGCGGGCAGGAACGCTGCAGCACACCCGCCTGCGCGATGAGGGGAGAGTGCCGGGGGAGGAGGGGAGGAGCGGTGCGAAGACGCTGGCGAGGATCCGGATGACACGTGCGACTCGGCCACGAGGCTTCGGCTCGAGCTGCAGGCGCGTCGGCCAGCGATCGGCCAAGACACGCCTCTCCAGCGACAGCGGACACATCAACCGCCCCCGAGTCGGAGCAACACCTGCTATGCCTCGGTGACGATTCACAGCCGCACAAGAGGAAAGGGATGGCCGAATGAGTGCTTCAGCTGCCTGGATGAAGCTAGCACTCCCAGGGAGGAGGAGGAGGTGGCGGAGGAGGAGGAGGAGGAGGAGGAGGAGGAGGGAGGAAAAGGAGGAGGAGGAGGAGGAGGAGGAGGAGGAGGGAGGAGGAGGGAGGGAGGAGGAGGGAGGAGGAGGCAGCAGGGGCGATGGAGGAAGCTAGAGAGGAGGGGGGGGGACAATGTGGGGGGCGGGACGAGGAGAAGCCGCAGGAGGACGGGCACCGAGAGGAGGAGCGGGAGGCGGGAGAGCCCGCGCGCCCCCTGCGCGGGCAAAAAGGCAGCGCCGGCGGCGGGGAAGCAAGCGGAGACAGTTCCTGCAGTAGGGGGCCACAGGCGAACCATAAACCCCTACCCCCCACGATTTCCGAGGGGGGGGGTGGGGTTCACACCGCTCGGGAGCTCCCGAGCGAAGGGAACCCTACCCTGCCCCTCAGAAATCGTGTGGGTAGGGGTGGGGTTCGCATGTGGCCCCCTTATACAGACGAGATTACGGCACGTACGCGGCATGGCACGAGGTAAATAGGCATTGACGGGAGCTGGCTGCGACGCTCAAGCTGACTTCGCTCCTGTTGCCACCAGCTGACCGTTCCTCCCCCACGCCACCCGCCTTCTCCTGCGTCATCCCCGAACGCCGTTCCACCCCTCCCTTTCCCATGATGTTATCCTCCTTGCCCTACTCCTCCTCGGAGGCGCCACCATGATCATGTCCTTGAGCTCCTCCACTGCTTTCGAGGAGTTCTTCAACAGCGGTTCCAAGTGCACGCAGAACTGATCCTGTCAGGACGCGGCGATACGGGACCTACTCCTGAATATCCGCCCCGTCAACTCGGTTGCCACCTCCTCTCCTACATCCTCCTGCCAGTCGCTCCTGCTGGGTGCTCTTCCTCCCCTCCTCCACTTCTGCGTGCCGCACCTGTACGCGCGCGTGCTGAAGAGCATGACCCTGGCAGTGCTCCTGGCCGTGTTCTGATCATCATGTGCGCAGTCAGCGGTGAGGTGGCCGAGCGATCTTGCGCTGTCCCTGGTGCGTGGCTGAACCGTGGCTTGGTGGTGTGAACTCTTTGACCCCACCACTTCCGATAACACATGTCGTGGTTGTCCAGCCCTGCGGCGCCCATCAGCGCTCTCTCGATCGCTGTGCCCACCTCGTGAACGCAGACCCCTGGAGACCCGGACCGATTCCCCGGGGACCGGATTTCCATTCTGAGTAGCTCGTTGGCGGCGCGCACAAGGGGGTGGAGGGACGGGGGAGGGCTTCTTAGGAGGCTGCTTCTTAGAAGGCGCCGGCCTTACATCTATAGACACGGCCCGCGCCTTCTTAGAAGCAGGGGTGCTTCTAAGAAGCCCTCCCCCCTCCCCCCACCCCCCTCTGCGCGTGGCTGAGCTCGTTGACTGGGAAGACCCCAAGAGGCAGAACACTGCCAAAATCCCCCCCCGCCGCGATGTGCCGGTGGCGCCGAGGAGGCGGAGGCCCGCACCTCGGCTGTGATGCAGAGGGCGGCCTTGCACGCTCCGGGGTGCGCCACGTAGTCTGACGCGTGTGCGCGGACGAGGGGGGCCAGGAAGAGGACGGCCAGGAAGGGGGCCAGGAAGAGGACGGGAAGGACGGGGTGCGCATCGTAGTCTGACGCATGGAAGATGGGGGGGCCAGGAAGAGGACGGGGTGCGCATCGTAGCCTGACGCATGTGCGCGGACGAGGCGGGCCAGGGAACGCATTGAGAGAATAATAAGGATACGAATAGTAATACTAGTAATGCCAGTAAAGATAGTGGCAAGCATAATAACAAGCATACAACGAATATTATGGCAATATTAACACCAATAGTTATGGTATAACGCAGTGATTACAAGTATGTCAATAGTCATACTACTATACCAATAACAAGAATGCACCGCATGCACGTAAAACGACAAACAAGAACAACACGAATACGAATATTGCAGTTATATGTCATACTAAGAAGGGTATGAATGGGGAACACATGTTTAAACAACAAGATACAAATGCGAATAGCGGTATGTCGAATAGTAATAAAAATATCTGATGAAGAAGAAGAATAATAATAAGCAGAAGAAGAAGTCGAAGAGGCCACACAGTCTGGGCATAGACGCGTCGGTCCTAAGAGGTGCGTGAGAAGACATGACATAGGAAGGCGGGCCAATCACATTGGGCCTATGCGGCAATCCCAGACGACAACAGAACACAGCAAAAGCGTACCGGCTCTTGAGGCAGATTGGAACCTGGGGGCCCAGGAACATCTGCTCTCAACGACCGGCGTGTCTCGTGGCCCTGGCCATGCGATGCCCCCCCCTGGCTTTCGCCCTCCTCCGTTCCGCTCCCGGTGTGTGGAGAGGACGGCCTGTCGCGCGCTCCGCCTGCGTCGCGGGGCCCCCCTTCGGGCCTTCGACGGCCCGGCGGCTCCCGCGCGGGCAGCAGGCCCTCGGCATGCCGGCGTCCCCCTCCTTCCCCGCCGCGGGCCCCCAGGAACCCCGCGGTGCCTCCGGCCATCCTGAAGGGGCACAGGGACACACAATTCCATACACACAGATCCCAGGATTCCCAATCGTTACACTATTTTCTGGATGTTCGTCTTTCCCCCCACTCCCGCAGTTTCCTTCATTTTCTTGGGAGTCGACGATTCATTGTGTCTGTGTTTTTCCCCTCCTGAGGAAAGCCCGCCCCCTCCTACCCGCCGCGGGCCCCCAGAAACCCCGCGGAGGCCCCCGGGCAATCTGCACCTCCCACTCACCCCACCTTCCGGGTGCTTCCTTCGGACAAACTCTCACGCGGACCGCGGATCTGTGGATCTGGCGCAGGGGCGCCGGGCCCCCGGGGATCGGGGAAAGCACCCCCGAGGGCATGGGCGCCAGGCCCACGGATCGGGCAGAGTGCCCCCCGAAGCAGAAGGCCAGCGCCGCCCGAAGGGGCGACGGAGCGCGCCGACTATCGCCTGGAAGCGGGACCCGTGGCCGATCCACTCCTCGCCTGACTCCGTGCTTGCGCCTCCTCGCTTCCACTGCCTCTCTGCACCTGCGGCCACCCGGCTCGTGGGTGCTGCGAGGGTGCTGCGCCTCCGAGGCCCGATTCTCCCAAGGGTTCTGCCTCCTCCTCCTCCTCCTCCTCCTCCTCCTCCTCCTCCTCCTCCTCCTCCTCCTCCCCCTCCTCCTCCTCCTCCTCCTCCCCCACCTCCTCCCCCCTCCTTCTACCCCTCCTCCTCGTCCTCGTGATGATCCTCTTCCTCCTCTTCCTCCTCATCCTCCTCATCCTCCTCATCCTCATCCTCATCCCCATCCTCCCCGCTTTCCTTCTCGCTCCAGAACCTCCCTCCTCCCTCCTCCACCTGCAGCGCCAGCTGGCACGAGCCGCCGCTCTGCGCCAGCCAGCGCCATCGGCGCTTCCCCGCGCCGCCTCCCCGCTCTCCCCTGCTCCCGTCCCCTCGGCCGCGCTATGGAGGCGCCTCCCGCGGCCACCGCAAGCCGCCGCAGGCCGCCGCGGAAGGCTGCCGCGCGTCGCGCGCAGTACACGAGGGCCGAGGCGCGCGCGTCAGAACACCTTTTGCGCGCCTTCGCAGCCCTCACCAGCCATCGTGGCCGCCAGCCATCGCAGCTGGCCCAGGCGGTGGCCTCGGCGCTGGCGGCGGCGCCAACGCCCTCTGCGCAGCGGGGCGCAGCGGCCTCTCACTCTCCGGATGCTGTCGCTCCCGGTGCCCATGGAGGCGACGCGGCGGCTGCAGTCCCCTCGTCTCCGCTGGCAGCGGGACCAGCGGCCATGGCTGCCGAGGCGGGCTTTCCAGACCACGGGGTTCTCGGTCAGCGGCTGGCGGCAGCGGGCGACGACGTGGTGGTCCCGGAGGGCGAGTTCACCTCCCCCTCTGCCCCCCCCTCTGCACGGCCTCCTTTTCTTCCCCGCGGCACCCCAATCCCAGGCTTTCCGCCTAGGACGCGGGCGGAGGCTGATCCAGGCCCCAGCCCTGCCACTGCTCTAGGCCTCGCGCAGGGCTTATGCCCGCCACCATTTTTTCGGCAAGTCTCTGTACCTTCACGGCCGTCAAGGCCAGTACCACTCCCAGTACGCCCTGCAGCGCCAGCGCCGCCAGCACCTTCACGGCCGACAGGGCCGGTGCCAGTACCCTCACGCCAGCCAGAAGCAGTGCCAGTGTCAGTGCCGTCGCCAGTGCAGCCATCATGTACGCCACCGGGGATCACAGCAGCGGAGGCGAGGGCCTGCCGCGCGGTGCTGTCAGCCTCGAGTAATCTGTTCGCGGCCCCGCAGCAGTCACAGGCAGACCCAGTGCCAGGGGCGCAGCTGCCGAGCCCCACTGTGCAGAGTCCGCCACGCCACGACGACTCTAGGCCCTTTTTCACCTGTACCCCAGCACGTGCCGCCTTGGATGCAGCGGCCGCAGCGCGGCGCGTTGCCGCATCTGCCGCGCACCAGTCTCCGCCATAGGCGGCTCGAGTCACCAGCCATCCTCCAGAGCTCAGCCAGTTTTTCCCGCCGAAGGCGGAAAGCCAGAGCACGGAGGGGGATGGGCAGGTATGGCAGTTTTTTGCGGCAGGTCTGGCTGCCCTCTCTGGCCTTCGCGCACAGCTACTTTGCACAGCTCGGCCTCTCCTGAAAGACGGGGTGGAGCCCACATGGGAGGGGTCGGCCACGCCCTCCTGAAAGACGGGGTCGAGCCCACATGGGAGGGTGTGGTGCCAGCGCCAACTGGCTTCGGACCTTTTTCGCGGGCCGGCAAGGCAGCAATCTCTGGCACTTGCGAACAGCTACTCTGTACAGCACCAGGCCCCTCCTGAAAGACGGGGTCGAGCCCACATGGGAGGGGTCGCCCGGGCCCTCCTGAAAGACGGGGTCGAGCCCACATGGGAGGGCTCGGCGCTGGCGTTTTGAAGGCCAGCAAGCAGCCCTGGCTTCTTCCTACCCAGCGCGGCCTCGTGGCACACCTTCCACTGCTTACTTGTATAGCCCCAGGCCTCTCCTGAAAGACGGGGTCGAGCCCACATGGGAGGGGCCTGCCGTGCCCTCCTGAAAGACGGGGTCGAGCCCACATGGGAGGGCGCGGCACTCGCGCACGGCACGCAAGCACACAGGCCCTGGCTTTTTCACCGCAGCGCGGCCTCACGGGGAACCCCCGCCCTTCTGCAGTCCAGCACTCCTCCCCTGGAGGTTTGGACAGCCGCACGGCGGCCTGGCCAATTTGGCCCTCCTTCCAGCTCTTCCCTCTCCTTCAGCCGACCGCAACCTGGACGGCACACCTAGGCAGGTTTCTCCTTTTTCCAGCCTTGTACTGCTCTTTGCCTCGAGGGCTGCCCTGCTATGGGCAACGAAGCAGGGCTCCGCTGATGTCTCTCTTCGCACGGAGCTGCAAACTCCTCCTCTCTCTTATAAGATTCCTCTCTTCCCCTCCAGCAGCGCCAATACCTCTCTCCCGACAGTTTTCGGGACGAGAGCGGAAGCAGCTCAGCGTCCATGTTTTCGGGTTTCTCGTGTGCAGCCTGTGTCAGTCCTGTTGGCCTCAGCGCTCAAGCTACTTGCAACGAGCTCAGTGCAGTCAAAAAGCCTCCACCAGCCCTCTTTCCACCTCCACCTTCCCTCCCTCTTCTGTTCTCCCCCCGTCCTGTCCTCCCTGCTCCCCCCTCCCTTTTCCCACCTCCATCCTCGCCCGCCTTCTGGTCCTCCCCTCCCCTCCCTTCCCGTCTCCTTCCTCCTGCCCCAAGCGCGCCCGAGCTCGGGCACGACCTGGCTGGACCCGACCGTGCCGCCTAAGCAGGACGCCGCCTGACCCAACCCCGACCGCCCGAGCCAGGGCCTGCCCGCCCGCCCGGCCCCGCGAGGAGGAGGGCTCCCCTCCCAGGGAGCACGATCGGGGGCCAAGGGGAAGGGCATCGGGTGAAGAGCACCAAGGGCATGGAGGGCTTGGGTAGAACGGCGCGCGAAGCGCGAAGGTTAGAATGCGTATTCGGGGGACCTCGTCTGTCCCATCGCGCCAGCCATCTGCGTCAAATCCGCGTCGGATCCATGTCGACCTCCTCGAACCCGTGTCGAATCCACGGCCAATCCACGTCGTACCCACGCCGATTACACGGCAAACCCGCGCCGACCACGCGTGGGATATCAGATATCAGAACAGACCAAAACCTGCAGGTCAGACGAGGCCCACCGAAGATGCAACGTACCGAAGGGCGAGTATCCTCGCGACCCTGCAGGTGGGTAGAAGGTGGCCTTGGGAACGGGCGGGGAGAAAAGGGGCACCTCGATCACACCCTGGGAACCGGTGTTCTTTTTCCAGAACCGAAGCTGGCCTCTGAAGGGCCAGAACTTGGGAATAACCGGCCGACTCAATTTCTGGGAAATCTGGGGTGGGCCAAACATACACTCCGCCAGCCCTCCACCGCAGTACACTAGACAAACCAACTTCGCTGGGCGCGGTAGCGTCGACGGAGGAACAGGCGCAGGAGCAGGAGGAGTGTGGTAAAAGGGGGAGGAAGAAAACGAAAGGGAAAGGAGGGGGGGGAGGAGGTGGCCACAGATCTGGTGTTGGAGGAGGGGGGGGGCGGGACAGGCCGGAAGCCAGGACCACGAAGCAGACAGGCGGTCCAGGTCAGTGAGGTCCTCGTTGCGCTTGTGGCCTGCCCAGCACGCATAGAAGCGTGTGCCACACTCGTCGCTCATTCCTTCTTGCTGTCCCTGTCATCTTGCCACCCTGCCACCGCCTCCTCATCCTCATCTTTCTCATTTTCAAATTCTGCATATTGCACCTCATCTTCTTCCCTTTGCTTGAACGCCTGCCTTCCTCCTGCCGCCCATGTCTATATGGATGCACTAACTTTGGCACCATGCACCACAATTAACGTACGCCCAGGGCTGACATTGCACCACTTGCTGCAACGAGCACCGGCACACAAATCATCTCGAGTCCCTTCCCGCGATGCAGGGCGAGGAGAGAGTGAGCAGGGAGAAAGGTGGAGGGAGGAGAAACTAGAAATTATGATGCAAGAAAGGAAAACGCTGTTTTCTGTAAAGGAAGTGCAGTACATGATGGTCTAAGGCGGAACGTCTAAGATGAGTCTAAGGCGGGCGCGGCGCATGAACCAAATATTGCAGCGGGCAGGCAAAGGTGAGAATCAGGACACTGGACAGGGAGCTACCGTTCGCGCGTGGTGTTCCAACAAGGCGGTCGTGCCTTCAAAAGGTTCAGCACAAAAGTTGGTCCCTACTAGCCGCCCCCCTTTTCAAAAAAATATAGAAAGTTGCCTGGTTGCAAGGGGGCAGGTTCATCTGAGTTCGACACGTCTCTGGGTTGACGGCCTTCACTCCATCCCAAGGGGCACATTGGTCCCCCGCAGCGCCAACCGCAAAAACATTTGGCGGCGCTAGCGGAAGGGATGGGAACATTCCCGTCGAAGCCCGTGGGACTAGCCGAAAGAGGCGAATCAATCCCCCCACCTGAAAAGATGCGAGATGATTACGAGAGCGCCTGCGAAAGATCCGCGAGCTACTCGGACACATTCTGGGTGAGCCCGCTCACTAGAGTGTTCTCCTCATCGATCTCGCCCGCTGATGTCGCATATCAGCTTTCCGTTTCCGTGAAATCTCGCGACGCACTCATAAGCATCATCTCCTCATTTCTGCGCGAGCGAGCTATGCTGTGAGCTCGGGACGTTTTTTTTGTTCAGCTTCTCGTCGCTGAACTTGACCGCGGCGTGGATATATATATATATATATATATATATATATACATACATACATACATATATATATATATATATACATATATATATATATATATAATGTGGCCGTCCATCACGTTGAGCAGTAGCTCTCGGTGCATTCCACCCTTGATCATGGGGTCGGCCCGCATTTCCCCAGTGTCGCACCAGAGCAAATCGTCGATCCGCTCGGTGCGAAGCGTCCGCTAACCACCAGAGGTGGCCAGCAACGCTGTTCTCGGACGGCGGCCAGACGGGGCCCGTCAGCAAACACCGCGAGAAAGCGAAAAACGAATGAAAAACTAATGGACATCAAAGATTTGGGCCTCTTCGGGCTCTCTCGGGACGCAGCTCCGAGGTCTACGAAGGCCTCTTGGAGGGCTCTTGGGCTGTGTATTGGCCGTGTCGGGCCCATCTGGGGCCACGTTGAAATCATCAGAGCCGTCTTGGAGCGCCTTGGGGCCTCCCGCTCCCGCTCTGGGGCCCAGCTTGGGCCTGTTCGTGGGCTCTCTTGGGCCGTCTGAGGCTCGTCCCGGGCAATTTTCGGGCTCCTTGGGGCACTTTTCTGCGGTCTTGGGGCGGTTTGGGGGGCGTCGTCGGCTGTCGTGGAGCGTCGGAAGGTCGACAACGCGAGACACCGAAAAACATAGAAACACATGAAAATCACAGATTTTGGCCTTTTCGGGTTCTCTCGGGACGCCTCTCGGAGGTCTCTGGAGGCCTCGTGGAGGCCTCTAGGGCTGTGTGCGGTCTGGAACCCATGTGGGGCTGCGTTGGGGTTATCTGGGCTTTCTTGTAAGGGTTTGTCGAAATCCCCCGGGGGTTTCTAGGAACGTCTTGGAGCTCTCTGGGGCAGTCTGGCGGCTCCACGGCCCCGCCAAGGTGTTTTGGGAACGGTCTCGGAGGCCCCGGTCCCGCCATGCCCCTTCCGGGTCGCGGCCCTGGACGCCCGGGCCTCGTGCGCGGATGTGTGTGTATATATATATATATATATATATACACATACATACATACATGCATGCATACATACATACATACATATATGTGTGTGCGTGTGTGTGTGTGTGGGTGTGTGTGTGGTGTGTGTGTGTGTGTCTGGCGCGTTGTTTGTAGTAGTAGCTACATTGTGTAATCTGTATTGTGTAATCAGCATTGCGCACTTATGTGGTGCAGCGTATGCGATGCAACCTGTGCGGTGCAACATGCGTGGAGCCGTCTATGTGGTGCCTGATATGTGGAGGAACGTTCCTGTTGCAACTTATGTGTGGCATATATATAGCGCGATCGTTGGTATCCACCAGATGTTACACAATCGATGTGGTGCGTTCTATGTTGTGCAATCTATGTGGGGCAATCTGTGTGGTGCATACGTGGCGCAACATATGCGATGCAATATTTGCGGTGCTGTCTATGCGGTGCAATGAGTTTTTGTTCGGGATGAATTGTTCACTCCACTGCTCGCGCAAACATCCCACCCACCCTCCCGCAACTTGGCTTGCAAACCTCATGCGGCGGCGATTGCGATGAGTGTTTGGCGTTGGCGGGTGCATTTCCGCGGCCGCGCCAACCCGCGCATGCGCACGCGCAGCGGCCAGCGTGCTGACCGCTCGGCACATCCCAACGGGCACTTGAGTGACAGTCGGCGGCTTGGGCGGGCGCGGTATCATGGCAACGTCGACAACCGTAGACACGATGGCGATGATAGTGGCGATGTTGGTGACGACAATTGTAGACACGATGATGATGATAGTGGCGATGTCGGCGCCGATGCCGGTCACGCCGACGACGATGACGGCATCTTCGCGTCGGTGAAGAAGGTTTTTCGACGGAATTCGAAATGCGCGCGCGGCCAACGCGCGAAACTGGCTCGCATGGCAGGATTTGACACGTATCGTGCCACCCCAGCACGCGCGCGAGGTGTTCGAACGATTTCGACACGCGCGCGCCAAACACGTTTGGTAGCATTTTCTTGAAAAGGTTGGAAGACGTATGGTTTTCTTCAGAATTCGCAAGAGCGCGTGCGCGCGCATTTGTTGAACATCCGCGTTGCGAAACCTTGTGGTTTTGTATGTGTTTGGACATTCGGTTTTGAAATCCTTCCGAAACCTAGAATTGTTGAAGGATTGCGGCGTGCGCGACCGACGACGCGCGCGCAATTCGTTTACTTTCTTGCAAGGGATATCTCGCGACGGCAAGAGCGCAAGGGCGTTCGAACGATTTCGACATGCGCGCGCGAAGCCCATGTGGTAGTATTTTCGTGAACATGTTAGAAAACCGATGGTTTGCTCAAGAATTCGCAAGAGCGCGCGCGCGCGCTTCTGTTGAACATCCGCATTGCGAAACCCTATGTGTTTTGGACACTCGGTTTTGATACCCTTCCGAAATCATAGGTTTTTGAAGGATTTCGGCATGCGCGCGCGACGACGCGCGCGCGTGCGCGCCGTTCAATTTTTTGGCTAAGTGACCCTTGGAAAATTATGGTGCGTGAAAAACGAACGCGCGCGCATATTTGATTTGCAGAGAATGGCGTGCGTGGGGGGGGGGGGGGGGGGGGGGGGGGGGGGGGGGGGGGGGGGGGGGGGGGGGGGGGGGCGAGACCAGTTTGGCTGGGATAATACGAATTCACAGGTCGGATGGACATTGGGTCAGAGTCACATGCGTTTTACATAGGTTCCCGGGGGCTGGATAAGTCCGGGGGGGAAGGGCGGCAAAACCTACTGTGTTCTTCTTCGAAAGAGAATTCACCAATGCTAAACTTGAAGTTGCCCACTCCACTGCTCGGGCAAACATCCTACCCACCCACCCGCAACTTGGTGTGCAAACCCTATGCGGCGGCGGTTGCGATGAGTTCTTGGCGTTGGCCGGTGCATCTCTGCGGCCGCGCTAGCCCGCGCATGCTCGCGGGCGCAGCGGCCGGGTAGTTTGGCGCGACCAACGCGAACGCGGTGGCGTTGACCGCTTGGCACGTCCCAGCGGGCACTTCAGTGCGAGTCGACGACTTGGGCGGACGCGGTATCATGACAACGTCGACAACGGTAGACGCGATGATGATACTAGCGATGCTGGTGACGATGCTGACAGCGACGACGGGGCAGCCAGCGACGGCGCCGATGCCGATCCACCCGACGACGATGACGGCGTCTTCGCGTCGGCGATGAAGGCTTTTCAACGGAATTCGAAATGCGCGCGCGGCAGACGCGCGAGAATGGCTCGCATGGTATGATTCGACACGGATCGTGCCACCCCAGCACGCGCGCAAGGGCGTTCGAACGATGTCGACATGCGCGCGCAAAGCCCGTTTGGTAACATGTTCTTGAAAGTGTTGAGAAATTCCTGGTTGTCCCAAGAAAATGCCAGGGCGCGCGCACGCTTCTGTTGAAAACCCGCGTTGAGAAATCCGGTGCTTATGTTTTCTTGTTGCACTCGCTTTTTTGTGTGTGCTTTCTCACGCAAAAAAAAAACTCGACATCGAAAGTTTTTGAAAGGTTTCGGCATGCGCGCGACGACGCGCGCATGCACTTCGTCGCTTTTTGTTCGCAGGGGGTTCTTGCAAACGTATGATCCGCGATAAAAGCATTTGCGCGCGCGCTGTTTCTCGCGGAGGGAAGCGAGGGGGGCCGATGCCGGTTTGGCTGGGACCACATGAACTCACAGGTAAGATGGGCACAAGGTCAGAACCATATGCGCTTTGAATAGGTCCCCGGGGAATCGATTAGTCCGGGGGGGGGTAGAACCTATCTCTTGCTTCAAAAAGAAAATTTAAGTTTTAACCAAAAAAAAAACGAATCGACGCATCCCATGCTCTCGCAAACATCCCACCCGCCCACCCGCAATTTGGGGAACCCACGCGGTGACGATTGCGATGCACGCTCGGCGTTGGCAGGTGTATCTCCGCGGCCGCGCCAACCCAAGAACGCGCGCGCAGCGGCTAGCTAGTTTGGCGCGGCCGACGCGGCCGCGGCGGCGCTGACCGCTGGGCGCATCCCAGCGGGCACTTCACTGCGAGTCGGTGACTTGGGCAGGCGCGGTACAATGGCAACGTCGACAGCGGTAGACACGATGATGACAATAGCCATGTCGGCGACGATGGTAGCAGCGACGAGGGCGCGGCCAGTGCCGGCGCCGATGCTGATCGAGCCAGCGACGATGATGGCGCCCTCGTGTCGGTGGTAAAAGGTTTGCGAAGGAGTTCGACGCGCGCGCGGCCGACGCGCGAGAGTGGCCCGCGCGGAATTCCTCGACGCGCATCGCGCCCCCCCCCCAACCAGCGCGCGCGCAAGGTCGCGCGAGCGATGTCGGCGTGCGGCGCGAGTGGCCCGTGTGTCCGAAGTACATGGGAATGCTGAAACACCTACGGCTTCTGTTTCAAGCGTTCGCCGGGGTGCGAGCGCGCGCGTTTTTTGAAAACGAACGGTGCGAAACCATATGTTTTTGTTTTGCAAATTGTTTGGGCACTCGGTTCTGACATCGCCACGACAACGACGGATTTGGGCACGCGCGCGCGCGACAACGCGCGCGCGCGTGCACTTCGCCTCATCTGTCGCAGAGGATTCTCGCGACGGCACGCGCGCAAGGGCGTTCGAACGATTTCGACACGCGCGCGCGAAGCCAGTTTGGTAGATTTTATGGACACGAAATCACGCTGAAAATTTGCGTTTTGGACGCTCG